GCATGTAAGTGTACCCATGTCATGCAGTGGCCATGGAGGACAGAAGAGGGCATCAGATCCCCTGAAACTGGAGTTAAGGTCAGTTGTTAGCCACAATGTGGGTGCTGGGATTCAAACCCAGGTGTTCTGTAAGAACAGCCAATGCTCTTAACCACTAAGCCATCTCTCCAGCCCCACAAATGATAATTTTTTAAAATATACAAACAGAACATAAATTATCTTTGGGACACCATAAAAAGACCAAATCTACAAATTTGGGGCATAAAAGGAGCATTATTAAAATCAAAGGCGTAGAAAATATTTTACAAAAACGCGTAAAAGAAAATTCTCAAATCTTGAGAATGAGATACCCTTACAATCACAAGAGGCCCTACATAACAAACAAAAGACACTTTCTATGCCATATTACAGTTAAAACACTAAAAACACAAAATGAAGATAGGATATTGAATGTTACAAGAGAAAGGAACCAAGTCACATGTAAAGGTAGGCCCATTCGACTAACAACTGATTACTTAGAAGCTTTTAAAGCCAGAAGAAAGGGGCTTGAAAAAGATCTATTCTGAGCTCTGAAAGATCACAACTGCCAACTCAGAACACTATAACAAAGATACCTTTTATAAGTGAAGTAGAAATAAAAAGTTCCTGTGATAAAAAAAACAAAGTAAAAGAATTTATAATCACTGAGTCAGTTCTAGAGGACACTGAACAAGTATGTTGGATAAAAGAGAAGAACAAACACACCCATGAGGCAACAGGAAAAAACAAACAGTGTCAGGGCAGTTAATCAAGAGGACTAAGAAAATATCACAAAACCATCAACACAAGAGAATACATACCTTTCAATATTAACTCTGAATATTAATGGGCTCAACATCCCCCAACACACAGACTAATAGATGGGACTAAAAAGCAAGATCCAGCTTTCTGTTGCCTCTAAGAAACATACTTCACTATCAATAACAGAGAGCACCATGGAGTAAAAATATGCGGAAAAAGTGTCCCAAGCAAATGGAACTAGGAAAGAAGCAGTTGTAACTATTCTAATATCTGGCAAAATAGACTTCAAACCAAAAAAGTCAGAAAGATAAATCAAAATCATTAAGGCAATAATCAATCAAGAGGGTATTACAATTCTAAAAATACATACACCAGAGATAACACCCAATTTCATAAAACAAACCACAAATCAACCCCAGTACAGTAATTATGGAGGAGTTCAATAGCCCATGTTGAACAATAGACAAGATATCTAGACAAAAATTAAACCGATAAACATTATAGTTAAATGACAGTATAAAGAACACCTAATAGACATCAACAAAGCATTCCATAAAAACACTAAAATATGCACATTCTTCTCAGCAATACATGGAACATTCTGCAAAAGAAAGACATTTTAGGACACAAAGCAAGCCTTACAAATATAGGAAAATTGAAATAATATTTTCTTTAATATAACCACAACAGAATTGGGCTAACAAGACTAAAATTAAGCAACACACTACTGAGTAATAAATGAGTCACTTAAGAAATCAAGAAGGAAATTAAAAAAAAAAATCCTACAATTGAATAAAAAATATACCAAAATGTATGCAACATAGTGAGGATAGTCCCAAAAGGAAAGTTTATAGCACTAAGTATCTACATCAAAAAATTGGGGAGGGGGGGAGAGAATGGCTCAGCAGTTAAGAGCACTTGCTACTCTTACAGAAGAAAATCTGGGTATGGTTCCCAGCACCCACGTGGTACCTAACAACCATCTGTAACTCCAGTTCCAAGGATGCCCTCTTTTTTGCCTCCTCTGGCTCCACAGGCTTCAAGCATACATGTGGTGCACATATATACATGGAGGCAAAACATTCATTCATACACATTAAAAAAAATCTTAAAAAATTTGAGATATCTCAAAGAAATAATTTAATGATGCACTTTAAGGCCTTGGAATAACCAAAACAAAGAAAACCAAAAGTAATATATGGGAAGAAGATCTGGGCACAAATTATTAAATACAAACATCAAAAAACAATGCATATAATCAATGAGAGGAAGATTTGGTTCTTCCAAAAAATAAACAATGATTGACAAAACTCTGCTTAGCTGAAAGAAAGAAAAAGACCCAAATTAATAAAATTGGAGAAGAAAAGGCCATACCAATGAAATTCAGAAAACTATAAGAACACACCTTAAAAATTGGAAATCAAAAAGGCATGAATTTCTATATCCATATGACTCACCAAAATTAAAGCAAGATGAAATAACTTAAGCAGATTCTATAACCAACAATGAGATTGAAGCAATAAAAAGTCTCCCAACCAAAAAGCCCTCAGGACAAGATGGATTCACTGCCGAATTCTACAGGACCATTAAAGGATTAACATCAATACTATTCAAATTTGTCCACAAAATATAAAAGACAGGAATGCCTCCATACTCTTTTAAATGAAGCCAGTATTACCCTGATATCAAAACTAAAGTAAGGCACAACAAAAAGAGAGATACTGACAGAATTCCCCGATGGACATAGATGAACCAATTCTCGATAAAATACTTACAAACCAAATTCAAAATCTCATCAAAATAATCATTCATTACGACAAGTCAGCTTCATTTCACAGATGCAGGGATGGTTCAATGCATGGAACTAACTTAATTCACTACATAGACTCAAGGACAGAAACTAGTTTTAGCTAGAGCAGTAAGAAAGAAAGAAAAGGGAACCAAAGAGGAAAGGTAGAAGTCAAAGTATCACTCTTTGCCAATGAAATGATCCTATACATAAGAGACCCTAAGAATGCTACAAAAAAACTCTTAAAAGTTGATAAATACTTTCAGCAAAGTGGAGGGTTACAAAATTAACAGAAAAAAAAAATCTAGTCTTCAATGACAAACATACTAAAAAAGCCGTAAGTGAAATAATCCCATTCACAACAGCCAACAAAAAAGTAAAATGCATGGAACTAACTTAATCAAGGGAAGGAAAGATCTTTGCAATAAAAACTTAAAGACAATGAAGGGCTGGTGAGATGGCTCCTTGGTGCTCTTGCAGGGAACCCCAGTTCCCAACACCCACATGGTGGCTCACAATCATCTGTAACTCCAGTTCCAAAGGATCTGACACCCTGTTCTAGCCTGTGCCAGCAGGAGGCATGTAGGTGACATACATACAAGCAAGTAAATACACATACACATAAAATAAAAATAAGTCTTTTTTTGAGACAGGTTCTCCCTGTAGCCCCAGCTGTCCTGAAACTCACTATGTAGGCCAGGCTGGCCTTGAACTCACAGAGATCCACCTGCCTCTGCCTCCCGAGTGTTGGAACTAAAGGCATGCACCACCACGCCTGGCAAAATAAGTCTTTTTAAAAAGACACTGAAGAAGTAAACTGAGGAAGACATTAGAGAACAAAATGACCTTCCTTGCTCAGGGATTGAAGAATCAATATAGCAAAAATGACCATCCTCCCAAAGGCAATTACAGATTCAATTCAATGTCAATCAAAATCCTCATGCCATTGTTTGCAGAAACAGAAAAAAAATCTTAAAATTCATATGAAAACACAGAAGGCCAATGATAGCTAAAGCAGTCACAAACAAAAAGCATAATATGGAAGGTGTCATCCATCATACCTGATTTCAAGTTATACTACAGAGTCAGAAATAAAAACAGAATGGCACTGGCACAAAAACAACAACAACAAAAACAACAACAACAAAAAAATCCACATAGATCAGCAGAATGAAATAAAGGACCTAGATATGAGTTCCCACAACTAAAGTTACCTGATTTTTGACACACACACAAATACACACACATATATATATATATCCAGTTACATGCATGTGTGTATA